AGGGTTAGCTTTTAATTTTAGCTCTTGCACTCTTGAGACATTTAAAAATATATTTATAGTTGTCTTAGAAGCAACCCCTCCCAATTTTTTCCACTGTATATATAAGGAAAAATACAAAGGGGTGTCACGTTCCCACAATCCATCTTATGCCATTGAATTAAATCGAGGCAGGTACCAAATAAATGCTTACAGTATCAAAAGAAATGTGTAAAAGGCAGGTTTAGTTCTCAGCCGTTGTGAAAGCTTTGCAAAATGAAAACCTCTCCTAGTTTCACATCAGCTGCCTTGGCTGCCGAGAAGTATGTGCCTAGTGAGAAGTTGTCCTTTCCCTCTACTTTCTGTGGAAAGACAGAATCCTAAATTAAATTAAGCTAAATCACACAATATAATAGGCTGTCTTGTCACTATTCCTCACCTTCAGGGAGTCTTAAAGCAACATACAGATTTCTCCTAGAAGAGAATGAAGGGAGAGGGCACTTTGTTTTCCCACTGCTGATGTCTCACGCCTCTATAGTTTGGCGAGCATCTCAGATAGGGTGGCCAGATAAGCCATGGTTAAGCAAGACTGTCAAATTCATACACAATGTAAAACCATAGCTTAAACAAGCCTGTGGTTCATAAGTTAAAAGCAAACCATGGTGGTTGATTCCTAGAAAACAATCCAGCTGGGCTGGATTGAGACAAACAACACTTTCGGTTTTTCTTAAAAATTGTAGTTTACTATTCTGTGTCAGTCCAAGACCATTTTAGAGTGCTCTGGGATCCCTAGTACTAATAACAGAAGTTTATTTCATCTGAGATTTTCATTTGAGCATTGTATGTGGCATATCCAGAAAGTTTCTCAGAGAGCTTGCTGCTTTTTTTGAAAACCCTAAAGAGCATAGTTAGCCCTTCCTTTGGCCTTTGGGACACCTATCCAGCCATTGTATGGAACTTAGGGCTCTTGGAGCTTAGCTTAATATGTGCTCCTCTTCTTCTTCTCCCCCCCCCCCTTTTAAGCATAAATACTACATTTGGAGAGGATGTGAGTTTGTCTAGCAACTATCACACAATGTCGGGTTTTCCTCTGTCTGAATGAGTTCTGTTTTTGAATGGTGGTTGTTATATTTTGGGCAGAATGAATTTTTTATAGCATTCAGACTTCTACCCACCGTGCATGTAGCCATTGGAGTCAATCTCCTGTAAAGTGTTCTAGTGCTGCCTCTCCTGTGTCACTGGTGTTTTTCAAGGAAATCACAGGCCTAAAAATAGTCTGCATAAACAACAGCAAGACAGTTGCATGGTGTGTGTGTTTTTCTGCTTCAATATTTGGAAATCTCTTTTTCGTTTTCTAACCGTGTCAGCATGTCCAAAACCAATGGCATTAGGTAGGGAAATAAGAACAACGTTTCTGGGCATTTACTGTAAAAATGATACTTTTAATATCGTGTGGAAAACCTGAGGCCAAAAGGGATTGCACTCCTAAATTAGCATGACTTCCGGTGCCCATACCCTCCTCCTGAAATATACATTGACATCATGATTTAAACACTACAGTTTGGAGTCCATAATAATTACCATGCATTTAGCACAGCATGTTGTCATTTGTTGGTGTACCTCCACACTTTATAAAAATAATAGCCTAACCCAGCCATCTCAAAAGCCCCTGTCACTTGAGAATTTTTTAAAATTTTTGCTGCTGGTGCACTTTTACGGTGAATCTCACTCACTGGGGATCTTGCTTGAATTCAGAGTGTCGTGTGTGTGTGTGTGTGTCTATAAAATGTGTAATATGTATAACATTTTGTTAATTTATAAGTCTGCTTTCATATACATTTCCAGTTGCTTTATAACCATAAATTTAAAAATGACCAAAGATAGGTTTAAAAACAATCCTTATAAACACAGAAGGCAGATAGCATTTCTCCCCCGCCCCCTAATCTTCTGCAAAAGCTTCTTAAAACCAGAACGTCTTCAGTTGTTTCCAGTAACTACAAATAGTGGGGGACTGTTGTCAGCAGGGACACTGGTCCACAGAAGAGAACTGAACACACTGAAAGCTCTGCTGCAAGTTGCTACGGAGTCAGCTTTTCATATTTTAGGAATTCCAAGGAAAGACTTCCTTGCAGAATGTAGTGAACTACAGATTATGTAAGGGATAAAGGTGGTCTCTCGAATAGCCTGGTCTCAAGCTGTATAGGCCCTTTTATGTTAGTATGAAAACCTTGAACTTGGCCCAGTAGCAGGTTGGTAGTCAGTGTAGATCCGGCACATAAGGTGTTACACGGGCAACTCCCAATTTACATGGGGTTTACGTTCTGAGGAGTGCAAGCCTCTGTTAACTCTAGCTGGAAACTGTTTCAGATTGGTTCAGAAATCAGCCAAGCTGCTGCTTAATTTGGGGAGAATTAGCTTGCCTTATTTTGAGGCAGTCTAATGTGAGTTGTAGAGAGCCTACCCATCGCTAGTTGGAACATATAGTTAGACACATTGGCCAATTAAATGAGAAGAAGTAATTTGTATTTCCGCAGCATGTTCCGTTCCTACATCGCACAGAGAAGGATTCAGTTGTCAAGAATATCAGTGTAATACCCTAAAAAACTCATGCTATCCACCAAGTATGCAGATACAGGGTAATATATAATACTCTGATTAAGCACGTGAGACATGAAGACATTGCAAGTTTTAGAAGTTGCTTTTGACATCTAATATGAGGCGAATGTGAAGGAAGAGAAGAATTACCCCACTTGTGTTTGTAGTCGGATTTTTTAAAGCTCATTGTTCAACATTGCTGTAGTGGAAGAAGAGGTCAGGAACAGATTTAAGGTGAATCTGAGAAAGGCAGTATGTGGATAAATGGCCCAGGTTTTCTATGACGTCTCCTCTTTTACGTAGTGGTATTGTCTCAAAACACAATCCGATGAAAGCAGTTTTGTTCTGTGAATTTGAGTATGTATAGTTCTGACTCTTACCTCCCCCCCCCCTTCTGAAATGGTACATAATTTTAAGGCAATTCATTGTAAATTGTAATTTGATTTCAAGTCTTTATTTTAATGTCATCTTCACATGTAAGTAGGAATCTTTTGTTACGGAGACCCATTAGAGCCACTGGGACAGGCTACATAAGGAGCCCAAGAAGTACTAAATTGGGTTAGGCAAGTGGTCCTATCTGCTGATTCTGTCCAGCATTCTTTCTACTGATATTGACACATGCCAGTCTTTTGGGACACAATTATACTCAAGCCCCAGGCTCCCCTCCCCTCCTCCCACTCAGATCAGTTCCAAGGGAGGAGATTGAAAGTTGCTGCTTTTGATCTTAGCCTCTAATGATTAGAACATTACACCCAAGCCCTTGTCAGTTTCAGCTGCTTGGTTAAAAAAAAATCAGGATCAAGCCATCGTTTAAAAACTTATTTAAAACAGGACGCAGAGTGTTTTCAGTCACCTCCTCCTGGCAAGTGGAGGGGGAGACACAAGCCCAAGATTTGAGTAGACTTGCTTACATAATACTAAACCGTGGTTTAGAATTACATCTGAACAAATCCTGCCTCTGATTATAAGGAGTGAGATTTTAACTATCCTAGGTAATAGCACGCAATAGACTTTAGTTCTCTCTGGAAATCCTTTAAAAAGCGAGTAATGGTAGTGCTCACTGTAATATGATGTTATCAGTTTCATGGGCTAATTTCAAATCTTGTGAGGGAGTATTTCCTCTTAAGACAAAGAATTATATTTGTGTGTGTGTGTGTGTGTGTGTGTGTGTGTGTGTGTGTGTGTTTAGTATGACTTTGTTGCTTTGGTTATGCACCTAGAATTACTCATTTTAGAAGTCCCATATTGCAACCACCAAGGCAGTTTCTTTCCTAAGCTATAAAGCCCTATTTGACCTTCATGGTTTCATCTTTCTCCCCACGCATACATTTTTATTTTTCATTTCTTTTGCCTTCTGAGTTTTTTAAGGCACATGTATGTGAATATTCTATGCTTGAGTTACATTATGATTATCATTATGCATCATTATTCACATGCATAACATGGGAATAGGAGTCCAACCACATCTGGGAGGGGGGGCACAGGTTCCCCACACCTGACGTTACTGCACATAAATCCCACCCTCCTGCTTAAGCCCCAATCGAAGGGTTGTTAGTGTATACGAAGAAGTAAGTTGCTTACTTCTTTTCATTTCGGATCATACTTACAAGGTATTCCAGATTTCTGCCTTCTGTCTGCAGGGGAACTACCTGACCATTTTGAAACCCAAACATCTTATCTATTTGTACTAGTAATTGAAGTCTGCGTTTTGCACATTCCTGGCTGCTGCCGCGGTGGGAGACCCCCCCCATAAGGGATGGCTCAAGTACAGTGTGCAAAGTAGCAATAGAAACTCAGTCACCCCATACGCAGCTTACTCTGTGCTGGAGCACTGTCCTCTATCATTAGGGAAATAGCATGTCTTCAGTTGTGACTGTTGCATGTAAAACACACGTACCAAAACCGTTCAGACCTTTTAAAGAATCTGAGTATCTCAGGTTGCATGTGTACCTTTCAGCCATCTTTTCTTTCTCTTTCTCTTTGCTTTTTTAAAAAAGTAATCAGTGCGGTTACTTTAGTAGACACCAAATTAATAATTCTATGTCATGTGGAAATATCCTAAACTGTGCGCTATGCTAAGTGAGGGAGACCCACAATGGGGTGAGATAATACTGCAGTTTGGCTTTATTTATAGCTTATACTTCAATCTCATGGCTATTTTAATACGACTCGGTGATGTGGAAGCTGTGTTTCTGGCCCTCTGCTGGATGACACTGATAAATACATTTTCCTGTTACTTTAACAGCTTACTTTTAAAATAACGTGTGCTTTCCCCAACATATAAAGAAAATCAAAATACAAAAGAAAATCAAGAATAAAAATATTTAATGAAACCTCAAGAAACACCTGGAAACAACAGTAGATTATAAAAGAATGTTAGCAACGGCTATTATGCAATTTTACCAATGCAGATAATTTTTCTTCTCTAGTTTTCTAGACAAGATTGACATAGTCAAGCAAAATGAATACACACCGTCTGACCAGGTGAGTAAAACGGCTTGTGAGAAAACGAGTTGACACATTTGTTTAAACATTTATGTTCTGCGTTTCGGGAACATCCTCTACAAAGCACCTTACAACGTCAAATAAAACCCAGCTCTGCCCGACAGTAGACTATAAAAATGCAAAATACCAGTGCAGCTAAATAACAGAGCCACTTTTTTTTAAGGCATATAGAAATAGAATAGAAAACATAATGCAGATCATAAGGACAATATAACAAGAATTGAAAACTGCAGAAGTAAAATAGGCTAATTTGGGAAGACTGGGGGGGCGGGGAGTTTTCAACAATATGACAGTGTTGGGGCTGTGAAGGAAGTGAATGCCAGAGCAGAGCACTGGTGCCCCAGTACTAAAAGCACCTGCTTGAGTGGCAGGATTCCATCCTGCAGGGGCATATGCCACCATCAACAGATCTCCACAAGTCTAAGTGTCTGACGTGGGGTGTTCTGGGGGAAGCAGCTTTTCAGATACACTGGTCCCGGACCACATAGGCCTATGTTTGCTCACTATTTTTCTGTGTCCAATCCCCTTTTACTCACTCACATCCCACTTTATTTATTTATTTATTTATTTATTTATTTATTTATACCCCGCCCGCCCATCTGGCTGAGTTTCCCCAGCCACTCTCGGCGGCTCCCAATCGAGTGTTAAAAACAATAAAGCATTAAATATTAAAAACTTCCCTAAACAGGACAGCCTTCAGATTTCTTTTTAAAATAGGATAGCTGCTTATTTCCTTGACATCTGATGGGGGGGCGTTCCACAGGGCGGGCGCCACTACTGAGAAGGCCCTCTGTCTGGTTCCCTGTAACCTCACTTTTCGCAATGAGGGAACCGCCAGAAGGCCCTTGGCGCTGGATCTCAGTGAACAATGGGGGTGGAGATGATCCTTCAGGTATACAGGACCGAGGCCGTTTAGGGCTTTAAAGGTCAGCACCAACACTTTGAATTGTGCTCGGAAACGTACTGGGAGCCAATGCAGATCTCTCAGGACCGGTGTTATATGTTCCCGGCGGCCACTCCCAGTCACCGGTCTAGCTGCCACATTCTGGATTAATTGCAGTTTCCAGGTCACCTTCAAAGGTAGCCCCACGTAGAGTGCATTGCAGTAGTCCAAGCGGGAGATAACCAGAGCGTGCACCACTCTGGCGAGGCAGTCCGCAAGCAGGTTGGGTCTCAGCCTGCGTACCAGATAGAGCTGGTAGACAGCCTAAATGCCAACCAACCCTTTGATAGTGCTGCTTATTCTGATCTCCCCCCAATAGAATACTGTCCTGTCTGTCTTTAAGGCCCGTTTTCTTTTCAAGCCCACCACATTGTGGGGAGAGGGCAGGCGACTCCTTATTAGTAACTGGCCTTTTCCCCCCCATTTTCTTTAAGGACCTTCTTAGATGCAGAGTTCTGACATCAGGAATATTTGAAACCAAGTTTCAGGTGGACAAAGTAAACTTCCAGTAAGTATAACTAACTTAGTGTGGAGTGCCCTACCTGGGTGGATGGAGCAGCCAAGTAATTTCGTTGTCCCCGAGAGGGGGCAATGACAATAAAGATATTATTATTATTATTATTATTATTATTATTATTATTATTATTAAACACAGCACTCCAATTCAGACTTGATTAAGCTAAGCTATTCAAACATGTTTACCATGTGATAATTAGATAAAATCTTGTGTAAGTACAGTGGGATAACTGTTTTGGATAGAATCCTCTAGATTGGATTGCAAAAAGATTCATGTATTTTTACTACTACTACAACAACAACAACATGCACCAAATATTTAATCAAGTTTCAACTTGTAAAAGTGATAATTGGAAGAGTACCTTTTGATTAACATGCTACTAAGGCCTTTGTATAAGTTGTCAGAGCCTGCAGAGCTCCACATAATTTTAACTTCTCGTTTTGGTGGACCCTAGTTGAGAGGGAAGGATCTAAAGTCACTTCACTGATTGTGTCAAATACACTGCTTCGCTGGCTCAGACACTCAGTTTAAATAAGAGAAGCTCTAATGGGTCACTCACACATTTATTTTCCTTTCTAGCATGTTTGATGTTGGCGGGCAAAGAGATGAACGCCGAAAATGGATCCAGTGTTTTAATGGTAAGATTGAAAATGCATCATACAAGCTACATAGTGAATATTTTGTCTTGGCAATGTACATGATATCATCTCCAGCTCCATTTACATCTTGTCCTTCTGATCTTTTGTGCCCTCGTACAACCCTTTTCCGTTTACATTCTGACCTCCCGCATGTGCCTAGAAGATCTTAAATTTTGTCCTCTCCTCCATTCTACCCCATGCTCTACCATTCCTTTCCACCAGAAAGAGATTAGAGCACAGAGAAGGCTTGCAAAGGTTTTGTGGTGTTACAGATTATTTTGTTTTTGTTTCTTTTAGATGTGACTGCTATCATATTTGTGGTGGCCAGCAGTAGCTACAATATGGTTATACGAGAGGACAATCAGACCAACCGGCTTCAAGAAGCATTAAACCTTTTCAAGAGTATCTGGAACAACAGGTCCGTCTCTTCAGATCTGATCAGTCGTACCCTTAATTAGCAATGCTATATTATAATTGAGTTGTGACAGCAAAAATACTGTGTAGAGTGCTAAAATGGTGTAAATATAAAATAGAGGAGTTTATGCATTTATTTAGTGAAATGATCGTACTAGTGAGTATTTGAGTAAAAGCGAAAGATTTATACAATCTGAAGAGAAACCAGAGTATGTGGTGCAATTGTATAGAAATCCGTGAATTTTGGAATAATATATGTGAGGAACTCAAAAAAACTTCTTGAACTTACTTTTTAAAAAAGACCGGAAATTTTCCTCCTAAGCATGCTGCCAAAGGAATTTGGAAAATCAAAAAGACCATGTATGGGATAACAGCTGTCAGAATACTAGTGGCAAGAAACTGGAAGAGTCATTCAATACCCAGTATAGTGGATTGGCAGAATCTAATGGTAGAATACCTGCAGCTAGCAAAGATGACAGGAAGAGTTACGGGGTGAGACAAAACAGAGAGTTTATAAGGAATAGAGAATATATAAAGAATACTTTAAAAATTATGGTGTAAACAGAAATCTCCTGGCAGAATTAGACTGATCCTTGAAATTCATAAAAGGTAACTGAGGTATAATGAAAAATCACAAGAAACAGGTAACTATGCGGTAACAGATAAAGCACAATGAGAATACTTGGAAGTCTCTTTAAATATTTGCAGCACTTTTTATATCTAATTGTGTGAATAATCATTTCATTAACAAAATACTTAATGTTGAGGAATTCCATAATTACGTATGTTTTTTCTCTTCTTTTTCCCCCCTTGATTTTTATACACTTGTCCTTATCTTGCATTTTTCTTTTCTTTTCTTTCTTTCTTTCTTTCTTTCTTTCTTTCTTTCTTTCTTTCTTTGTTGTAAGCTTGTAATGGCAAATACTGTATGGATGTATCCATTTTAACTCAATAAAAATTAACTAAAAAGAGTGAGAGAGAAGTATTTGAGGCAAGCAGGAAAACTTTTGGGAATACAGGTGGGGAGCATTTTGCACAGGGTTTCTGTTTCTGGCCCCCGCATGCGTCAGTGGCATGCTTATAAGAGTGCCCCCCCATTACTTCCCCATTTCTCTTTCTTCTGGGTACAAAAGGACCCCCGCGACGGTGATCATGTGTCAGTTGGACGCGCCTAAAATGTTCACCGCCTATAGTTTCCAGATAATGCACAGATGCTGTTGCCATGGTTTATACTGCTTTATTTCGTTTATTTTGGCCGCAGCTTTTAACACAGTACATTGGCTTTCATTTTCTGTAGGTGGCTACGGACCATTTCAGTAATTCTTTTCCTGAACAAGCAGGATTTGCTAGCAGAGAAGGTTTTGGCAGGGAAATCTAAGATTGAAGACTACTTTCCAGAATTCGATCGCTACACTACACCAGATGATGGTAAGAAACTCGACATTTTGCACAGCCCTAATAGCAAAATAGACTCTCTAGCATTCAGTTATCTTAGACTGGGGAATGAGGGTCAGGAGAAGGAAGGAAGTTCTGCATTAGTGATGAATTCTGCTCTGTAAGTCTTAAGTGGTAGACGACACGTGCTTGCTATTTTCAATCTATTAATTTTTTGTAAAGTGTCAGATTATGCAAGATTTGTCTCCTGTTTGATGCACAACTGTACACGATTATTAAATGTCGTTTTGTTTCTTTGATACAACTGCCTTTCGCCTCCAATCAGGCCGGTTGCAGTTCAAACAAGGTGAATGCTTTATCTGGTTAAAACAATGCCAATGATACCTTATATTGAAGAGTTTCCAGATAGTGGGTTGCATCTAGCCAAGTCATTTTGCAAGTGAAATGACTTCTACTCGCGCAACAGAAGTTCCTCTCTCCCCCCCCCCCGCCTCCTACCCCATTCTGTTCTGCGCAGTAACTTAGTTGCATTCAGCCCAATAGATTTTAGATCAGCCTTTCTCAACCTGGTGCCCTACAAATGTCTTGGACTTCAACTCCCATCAGCCTCAGCAAACATGGTTGGGAGTTGTAGTCCAAAAGCATTTAGAAGCCGGGGGGGGGGAGAGAGAGAGACAGTTTTAGATGACAGTGCATAAATTATAAGAGCTTGGATCCAAAGATGTCCTTTCATTATCCGAAAGCCTCTTCTGCTTGCGAAAGGGCTGTTTACAAAAGTGATCCAAAATCCCAAAAAGTCCTTCCATTTTTGCAGACTCCTGACCAAGATTTGCGCAATGTACTTTCAATTCCCTTTTACGGCCCACTAGAGTCTATATGCTACATCCTATAACTTCCTTATTCACGGTGTTTCTCATGCTATAATGCAACCCCTGCGAGATTGTGGTTGTGCACTCTCGAGAAGCATTCCACCAGCGCTAAGCTATTGATTCCTTTCACTTCTTTGGATCCAAGCCAAGATATTTATATGAATTCCTATTTTAAGATAATCTTCTTGTTTTGTTTTTTTAAATTGAGCAGCAATACCGGAACCTGGTGAGGATCCTAGAGTTACAAGGGCCAAGTATTTTATTAGAGATGAATTTCTTGTAAGTATGCTTTCCTCAGTATTCCTAAGAGTATCTTCCCCCGACTGCACCCTCCTATGCTTTTAAATGCAATCCATTCTGGTACAGGCGACTCCCCATTTACGTGGGGGTTATGTCCCCAGGTACCGTGCATGTACGTGAAATCGTGTATCGTGGGGAACACCATCTGAAAAGCCTGTAAACAACTCTCTAAACCTCTGGAAACCCCTTTTAAAAACCAGCAAAATCTCCTGGGATTGCTATCCATTTTCCCTTCACTTTTCACTCCATTTTTGCAGTTTTAGTTCTCTTTTCAGGCTGTTTTTGCCATTTTCACTGCACGAATCGAATGCGTGCAACTGCATTTAGAGCTGCATGTCTTTTCATTTGCAAGATCAGCTGCTTGGGTTAGTAGCATTATTATTATTTTTTTACAAAAAGCAGCGGAGGAGAATTCTAGAGGCTGTATCCCAGCACCTTCTGTGATGTTGCGAGAGATATGGGTGCATTCCCCCTCTCATTGTGTGCTTTCAGTAGCAAAAGTCTTGGGCTTGCCCTGCTATCACCTTTCCCTCACGTAAACTTACGTATGGGGCAGGATTTGTTTCATTCGCTTTTTGCCGCAGAACTAACCCGGGCATGCTTGCAGATTCTGCCATGCATTTAAGTGTGTAAAATATAGTTTGTGCTTGCTTGCTTTCTTGTTTGTTTGTTTAATAAAGAAAGATGCATGCAAATATGTATTTCACTGGTGAACGTATCAAAATGTGTATTTTACTTGGGAGGGGGAGCGAGGTGCACAAAATACATGCAGGGGAACAAAATGTGATGCAGTGGCCGACAAGCGAGTTGTAGCAAGACCGAAATGGATGGATTTAGCTGTGCAGCTCATCCGTAGCATAATCCCATTCTGGAACTGTACATCTGTGGTGCATTCTTAAGGTTTGAAGAGAGGTGGTGGAGGGGTGACGCTACAGGAATTTCTTCTACCTTACCCTGTGCTTCTATGGGTTCTTGCTGGCAGGGCAGAAGAGATGGTAAAAGTAGCGCTCTTGCTTTTTCTGAGCAGGAGAGATCTAAATAGAATTGAAGTAGGCCAATTCTCAGGTTAACGTGATTTTCTCCTTGGGTCTGGTACATTGTCAGGGGACTGGGAAGGTAATGAATCCTTTGGACTAGTGTCTTTCCTTGGTCCACCTCCAGCATGACTCTGGAAGGACCAGGGGTCCTCCGGGAGCATCAGGGGCTGTGTACATTATGGCAGGGACGGGGCGATCCAACATCACCTCTACTTCTCTGAGGTCAGAGCTCTCTCTTTTAGCCTGGAAGGAGGGAGGTCCAATGCTGCTTTTGACCACCAGGACACACTCCTGAGGACAATGGGATTGGCGTATTGGTTTTGCTGAATAATGATTTTGTGTCAGTGATCATTGGTAGTGACACAGAAGAATGTTGGTTTAGAAAAAGTGTCCTTTCTCTACCTGGATACTAGCAGGTTTTGAAAGAAAATTGCACATTTTGTACAGTGGTACCTCGAGTTACAAACGCTTCAGGTTACAAATTCTGCTCACCTGGAAGAGTTACCTCGAGTTGAGAACTTTACCCTAGGATGAGAACAGAAATGTTGTGTCGGCGGCACAGCAGCAGCAAGAGGCCCCATTAGCAAAAGCACGCCTCTAGTTAAGAACAGCTTCAAGTTAAGAACGGACCTCCGGAACAAATTAAGTTCGTAACTAGAGGTACCACTGTAGTGAATTATCAGTCTGACTTTTCGGTAATGGCAAATAATTAGCATCTTTGTAAGTTTTCCTGTCACTTGTTCCGACATAGTTCTGTTCTGTTCGACATTTTGCCATGGAAATCGAATTATTGGAGCCGGGGGTGTTGGGGGGAAGAGATAAGGCACTATGAGGAACAATTCTCATTAACCCTGTTCCACGACTTCTCATGCTTTTGACATACATACTGATTGTTTGTCCCTCTTGCAGAGAATCAGCACAGCAAGTGGAGATGGAAGACACTACTGCTACCCTCACTTCACCTGTGCAGTGGATACAGAAAACATCCGGAGGGTTTTCAATGACTGTCGGGACATTATCCAACGGATGCACCTTCGTCAATATGAGTTATTGTGATGGAGAGCACTTTTTCTCTGTTTTGGACTCCTTATTCCTTATTAAAAAGAAAAAAAAACCTTGCCCACATAGGGTGGAAGAAAAACTGTTGCAATCTCCCTCTGATTTGCATCCCTCAACCTTTTCTCCTTGCTGGACAAATAGCAGCACTTCTAAGCTTGCTTGTTTCACCCCCTTGGAACAGTTTGAGACGGCCCATGAAATGTAAAAGGCCATTTCTGCGAGCAGGGGCGGGAGGGAGGGGGGCGTTTTTTTCCCTCTTAACACTGTCATTAACAAAATAATAATAATAATAAATAACACCCTGAAAGTGGAACACCTGAGAGGATTTGGGATTAAAGTTAAATATTAAAAAAGCAAACAAACAAAAGAGAAAATGGGAGAGAGAACTTTAGGTAATTAGCACTGTTTGTGGGCATAATCCTATATCCCATGATTTCAACTTTGTTATCCATTCACTGCATCAGACTCAAGAAGGTGCCAAGTCACAGACCAAGTTGAAAGGACAGGCGCTTGAGTTTGGTTCTCTGCCTCTGAATGTGACTTTTGAGCGGAAATACTGACAATTCTACAGCAGATCTAGACAGTAGAAAACCAACTGCTACCTTCAGAAAGGTGTTGTTGAACCATGGCGGTCCTCTGGTGACTGGGGACGTTGCTAAATGAACTGCATTATGGCCTGTGATTGCAGAAAGAGTTAACCACACACTGTTTTTTCAGTTTGTCCACTGATGATCCTGTCTGCTATATAGATATATATATATATACATATATATATAAATCATTATCTGGACTGTCGTCCTCACAATCTCCCCTTCTTTCTTTCTCTCTCCCCTTCTCCTTCTATTGCCTTCCCGTAACCTCTCTTCCCAATTTTTATTTTACTGCTGGATTATTATTCTTGTACAGACTGTAAAATGTATTATTTTGTACAACTTTATTGAAGAAAAAAATAACTTGTAGAAGATCTTTGTGCCTTGATTATGGCTGTACCCGTGCAATGAGCTAAGATGTAAGTATGTTTGATTGCGCTGTACAGCTTTGTCAACCCTATCTGCAGCAGTTGCTCAAGGTAGGGAAAATTTATCTGTAGTTTAGGGTTTTTTTCTGGTTTATAAAAGGAGGAGGGGAAAAAAATACTGTTTAGTATTAAAAAAAAAAAAAGTACAAATCGTGCAAACGTAACCACTTTAAAAGTGAGGTCTACAACAAGTGACCAGATGTTGCAGCATCATGCTTTTTAATTTTTAGCTTTAACTCATTTAAATCTCTATCCAAATGCAAAACATGGCTTGTTTCTACATAAACCAAATTTTGCTACAAATTATAAATGTTAGTCTTTGTCATTCATAGTCTTTTTTTTGTGCAAAAGGACAAAAACAGAACAAAAAAAAGCAAACACATAGGCATTGCACAGGCCTGGTGGCCATCTCTGTGCCAGTCACATGCTTTTCCACCACCACTATTTCTGCGTGGGCATAAGACTCCCATAATTGCAACGTAATTACCTTGCCCCTGGATTTGGCCACTCGATTTCAGTTTCAAACGACATTTTATTTCTCTTTTAATAAAGAGAGACTTTAAATTTTTGTTTTATATTAACTATATAAGTAGCTTAAAGTTGAGGAGTGTGGATTTTTTTTTCTTAAACTTGAATAATTTATGCAAATCATATGCTTAGAACAACATGTGGTACAGTTTTTTTAACAAAGAGCAAAAATCACTGTAGCAATAAGAGAGCATGTAATTTTAGTAACTACACCGCTTTATATTTTATACTTAGGTGTTTTATGTCTTTGTGAGAGTATTACTTTTTCATGTGTCTGAACCTACATGTACAAATTTGTACAAAGTCTAAAATTACCGCTGTACATCTAGATCAACTACATTAACTCAAGCCACCCCTTTGCCCCACCCTGAAAAATGGGGCGAGGGGGAAATCTAGATTCCAATACATCGATTATTTTTTTAATTGCCTTTTTTACACATTAGCTTATCTTACACCCACCAGACATGACATTAGTTTCTCTCTTGGGAAGAAGTCCCACTTTAGAAGCTGTGCTGTGGCCAATAATTTCTACAAGTGCCAGAAACCTTAACGTTAAGAACCACAGGTGTTGAGGATCGTGACAAGGACAGGTGTAATTAATTCTCTAGTGGGGGGGGGATTCCCTGTCTCCTTTAATATACGCAGAATAGGTATGAACCATTCACCCAGGTAGAACAAAAACAATTGCATTGTTCACTGCAAAACACACACACACACACTTCAATGCTGTGAAAGTGAGGGGGCGAAGACAAGAACATGCCATTGAGACTTTCTTCCCGTTTCCCATTGCTGCAGTGTCCTGATGAGAGCCAAGCCCTGTCTGATATTTTTTTTAAAAAAACTAGCTTGCCTCATCAGTTGTGGGGACTGCAGTTGTGCGAAGCAACTGAGGAAGCCCTAGCTGTGTCCGCAATTCCCTCAGGCTCCCATAATAGCTCCTTTGGATAGCAGCCTGGGCCTGCGGTGTAGCCAATTCAAATTTAGCAGACGGTCCGTTTTAACGTAGTAGGATGAGCTGCCTTGTGAACGTTTGCGATCCGTTGCAAAGCCTGTTCCAGAAACACACCTTTGCCAGTATAAGACTTAGCTAGTGCCTGATGGGATTCCATAGAGCAGAACACACACACACACACACACACTTTAAAATGTGAGCCTTAATTTTTGCTATAAAAGTAAAAAAACAAAAAACCTAAGTTTAGTGCCAAACCTATTTTTATTACCTCTTAAACCTGGGGGGGTGGAGGGGGGGAGATAATACAAGAAACAAATCAGTAAGGATAGAAACTATTTGCAAAGAATGAACTGAGAAAAACAAAAGCATCGCCTTTTATTAAACAGTAGCAAAGACCCCCTTCCATTGGTGAAGAGATTAAGCAAGCATATGTAACAAAGGGCGTGTGTGCATGCCATACACGGGCACACACGCCGTTTAAAATACACCACCTATAAAGCTTTATATGAATGGAAATGTTTGAGATCCTTTTTTTAAGTTGGGTGGGTGAAGGGAGTGTTTTGGAACCAGTTTTGGCTGCAAATGAATGGAGAGCGGTGCGTGCGTGCGTGTGTGTGTGTGTGTCTCATCTCAGTATTGCCTCTTGTTAGTCTGTCTCTTTTAAGTTTTTGCAGTTTGGTGGTCTGGTAAATGCAAGTCTTATTTTAACAGCTTCTTCTCTTTGTTTTGTTTTTATTTTTAATACAAAAAAACCCATAAAGCTTTGATGCTTGCTATTTAATTCTGTGTTTTCTTCTGTCTCTAATTTAGCTGACTTAATTTTGCAGTCGTTTGAACCATTCCAACCTAATGCTCATCTTTCCCTTGGACTTTATTTTTTTCTATTTATTTGTTGGAGCCTCCTGTTCAAATAATAATCAGGATTGAGGATTCTGGATTTGCATCTGTCACCTGCTTCAGGAATTTCTGGCTTTTTACAACCATTGTGTATTTTCTTCCCCAAGTATTCATTGCAACTCTCAGAAAATTACTACCACTTCTATCAATAAAGCCAACTCAGTGTCTTAGGGACACATGTGCATCCTGTCTATTGACCAAGATGTGTCACGAATTCCACTGTGAAGCCAAAATGAAAGTCTATAAATTCCCCCACACTACATTTTTGCTATTAACCGTGCTTAGTTGGCCCTTTTAAAGGATTTCTACCTTGGAGACATATTTTGGTTTGTTGAAGTTATGCAACTCTTTCGTTGGGTAAGCTCAGGGTTTTTTAAATTACTAATTGAAGATAATGTTTGAGGAGGGTTTTCTTTTGCAAGTGTGTTAATTCCAAAACATTTGGATTTACAACATAACCCTCAGCATGCTGGTCTCCTGCATTTAGTCTGAATACTTTAGGTATTTTGTACAAATGAGAATAATAAATTGTAGAGAGAGTGTGGTTTTCAAAACAAGACTCTGTGCTGTAGAAATACCATTCTAACCAAACATTTTTATTTAGCAAAACAAGTTTTAGGCCGCTAAGTGTTTCCAGGAATCAATGGTGCTGTTTCGCCGCTTTATTATACTTATGGGAATATGCTGGGAATGAAAGAGCACTGAGACCTGATTGAGTTAATTCCCAAAATATTTTACCATGCTTGCACCACACTCTGGATCATGTTTTTTCCCTTCAGGAACATAGCATTGGTAGTGTGATATTTTGTGTTTTGCTCGGTTTATTCCTCATGGCAAAGCCATTGGACCCAATCCATGGCAGGGTGGAAACACTTTTGCGTAGTCTGATCCTATATGGCTCCAGTAAAGCTATAAAAACGAAGGACAAAATGGCATAGGTGTGCCGATAGTTAATGGTTTTTATTTGTTGTTGGAGCAACTCAGAACCAGATCCGTGGGGTCGTGGCTTCTGCACCAGAAAGGTAAGTTATTGATCATGATTCATGACTTCTCCTTGAGGGTGATGGAAGAAAATGCCCACTTAATCATTATCTGTACCCCACATAGTTCCTATGCATTTTAGCATTTTCATACAATGCCCCCAAAAATGTCATACAAAAGCAGCATCTTTTGTTGCAAAGGTAAAATAAAGTCGTACCTCAGAAGTCGAATGCCGCAAACCCATAAGTGAATGTCCCAGTTTGTGAACGTTCTTTGGAACCCAAAACGTCCAACATGGGTTCTGCTGCTTCCGATTGGCTGCAGGAGCTTCCTGCAGCCAATCAGAAGCCGTGCCTTGGTTTCCAAACATTTCGGAAGTTGGACAGATTTACGGAACGGATGCCGTTCAACTTCTGAGGTACAACTGTATTTCATCAGGCCTTTCAAATCAGGAAAATCACCATTCATTGATATTTTTTAAAGGGAAAATAATGCTATCAAGCATTTAAATTAATTAAAATACTCCATTTGATCAAATTTACATTAAAGGTTAAAGTACATTTTTAAAAGCCAAAAAATGCAGTTATAGTGATACTGTCTAAAAAGCAGTCTGTTAACACATTCAGTAATAGGTTTTTTAGAAGTCAACAGAGATGGGATAAGTGCGTTGGATTTTTGAGAGCAACTGGTTCCACGGTTAAACATTGTTCCATACGGTGGGATCCTGTTCTACCTGCCATATAAGCACAGCAATTGAAGGAGGAATTCTAATCAGGGCCTTCACTGTTGGCGATTGGTTCTGTACTTCTGGGAGTAATGACAAAAACAGACTTCCATGCTAGCTGGTTGTGTTGCGTTTTCTTTGCCACCCCAAAGCATGCATTGAATGCTATGATTCCAACATAAGTGCAGAGTCTTCTCAAGCACTCACCTTGCCACATAATACAGACCAGTATCCTAACAGTTTTCATCTTAATCATCCATAAAAGATAAAGGCTTACAAAAGCCCTTAAATTGAAACCACAGATAAAAACAACAGTGGCAACAGACAGTAAGAAAATAATAGAGAACATAAAAGATAACAATGAATACAGTTCACTCAGTTAAATGTCTTGGGAAATAATAATGATCTTGGAATTATTATAATAATAATTATTATTATTTATTATTTGTACCCCGCCCATCTGGCTGGGTATGTCAGTATTGATGCTTCCCTAACCCATGTATGAAAGGATTCCCCAGATGGGGCGTCGCCACTGAAAAATGTTTTTTGGTGGGGGGGCTTAACAAGGTACAGTAACATTTGCAAACATCTGTTGGTGATGTTCCATGGAGAAGCTAGTCTTTTTAACAGGTGTTTGTTCATTGGCCCAGTCGGGTTGCATGGTGCTCCTGCCAAATTAATGCTTCAGGTATCGACAGGAGTGATTCCATGTGGATCTCCACGCAAGGTAATCTCAAAAACTAACAAGGAACTAGAGCGGATTGTATTCTGGTGCTTCCCTCTTCAGAGTAAATACTCTGAACCTCTGTAACAAGTTATGTATGGTTGAAACTGCAGTAGTAGTTTCTGCTGCCATTTCCACCATCTGCTTAGCAGAGATAACGTCACTGCTCTGCACACCAACAAACATGGCTTAATTCTGACCCTACTTGGATGTGAAATCAGAATGGCAACCATCCTATGCACAATTATTAGGGAATTGAAGTCCCATTTGAGTAAACCTTTTGGATGAGGCATTGGACCGGGCATGTCTGCATTACCTCATGTGGCATGCATGGTCCTCTTAAACCTTTGTTTTGGAAGGAAAAATTAGTACCGGGCTACCAAGAATACTACTTCAGTGATGCATGCATCAGGGATGTTTCTGGGCGGCAAGCCTTGGAATTAATCCAGCCAAAAAATGCTATTGAATACATTTATCAAGCAGAACCACACACTGAAAGAGAGCAGCTAGTAGCATTTCAATATTTGCATTCCTCCTTTCTGTTTAACAAGCATCCAAAGAGGCTAATAAAATGTATAAAATTCCCAAACAGTAAAATATGCCGAAAGAACGGTAGAAACACCCAAAATTAAATATGAAAGGGATATATCCCAACTTATTATTATATATTTTATCCACCCCCAAAGGCCCTCTAGAAATAAAAAAATATGTTTTCATGAGTTGAAAGGCAAACGAGTGAGGGGGGGGCTGGTACAAGTGAAGGTCCTGTTCTGTGTGCCCACATATATCTTTTCCAATTGCAGGGAAACCCCAAGTAAGGTCTCGGTCACTTACCTGAATGAATGGGTAGGTGGAGGAGGTTCTTGAGATAGCCTGGTGCAAGGGAGCTCAGAAACAAATTGGAAATAGAGTTAAGAATGGTAGAATTCTATGTCCCACATAGCAAGTCCCTATGTAATAGTCAAACAGCTGCACTTGGCATCCGTTGATGCTTCTGAACACTCTTCAGGGCAATGCCACATACAGCGGTTCCTCGGTTTACGAACTTAATCCGTTCCGGAAGTCCATTCTTAAACCGAGGCGTGCTTTCCCTAATGAGGCCTCCCGCTGCCTGTGCCCTTCCACCATTCAGCTTCCATTCTTAGACCAAGGTAAAGTTTGCAAACCGGGACACTACTTCCGGTTTTGCGGCGTTCGTAAACTGAATACAGTGGACGCTCGGGTTGCAAACGTAATCCGTGTAGGAGGCACGTTCAGAACCCACAGCGCCGCGTCTGCGCACACACAGGTTGTGATTCAGCGCTTATGCACATGCGCAACCACCGAAACCTGGAAGTAACCCGTTCCGGTACTTACAGGTTTTGGTGTGTCCGTAATCCAAAAAAACGCAACCTGAAGAGTCTGTAACGCGAGGTATGACTGTAGTTTGTAAACAGGGCTGTTCTTAAACCGAGGTACCACTGTAGAGTGTTTTACTGTCCTCTAAATTCAGTGTCACAAAGGCCACTGGAAGATCAGACCTCGCCAGAAGTGAGAACAATTGGCTTGAAATGTGGACAGAACTGTTTGCCCAGTAACAGGCACACGTATAAACATGTTTTTAATGTGCACCTTCCTTGGTTCACTTGGGTGTTACATCAGATACAAGGTATAAAAATCTTGAAATTAAGCCGATATTTCTGGTGCTTACTGCCATGTTGATTTTTCTTAAAAAGGGCATGTGTGTTTTATGCAAACATTTATTGAAACATCCAGGAATTTTTTTATATATAAAAAAACTGAAGGCCAACTCAACACATCAAATCAGAAGCACAATAAAATAATTCAGAACCATAAACACATTAACAAATGTATTGAAATGTTTTAATAGGACCTTTTTTATTATTTAAGAAATAAAGTACTGGTATTTTCCCATACTTGATGCTTGTTTAAGATTATTTTGTCCTTCTAAATTAATCCAAGCTCGGTTACCTTGAAAGTGGCCAACAGTTAGTGAGTCCTTGGCAGTAGATTTCTCCTTGAATACATCAGATTAGGTAGCTAGGTAAGGCAGTTCACAGAGCTCCTGATCCAGCACTTTGGAGCAGCTCCAACCTGACCTGGGATGATCTAGGACTAAAACTGTTTCAGGGACCTAGCACAGTGCTTAATCAGGATTTAAAACCGAAATTAAATATGGTTTGGAGGGTGGAAAGCACACAGACTGCGTGTATGCACTCCCCCCCCCCCCATTTTCACAGGCTCATATAAGTTCAGCACAAACAGTTGGGCCTGGGGAACATTTAAGGTCCCCAAACCTAATCTGCAAGTTGCCATCTGATTGGATTTTATTCTGATCCTGATCTGATTTTAGGGTGTATTTTAATTGTTTTAATTGATTGCCTGATTTTATGTTAATGCGTTATACATTTGATGTTAGCCACTCTGAGTCCGGTTTTGGGTGGGGTATAAATAAAAATTATTATTATTATTATTGCACACACACACACACACAAATTCTGGGCAAACAAATGCTTGAGTTAAGTTCTGGAGATTTCTCTCTCTTTCTGGATAGTGTTAACAAAACTCCACTGTTATGTACTAAACTTGGATCCTAGATCAATAGGCAGGTACGATCCTAGA